CCGCACATTCTCGGACGCCGACTGGGCGTCTGATCCAATAACCCGGAAGTCGACTTCTGGCTATTGCTCTTTCCTGGACAATACACTAGTCTCATGGACAGTCAAAAAGCAATCTACCGTCTCTATATCGTCAACAGAATCAGAATATCGTGCCTTGGCAGCAGCCACGGCAGACACGATTTGGATCCGCCGATTACTTTTGGATTTCCGTATTATCGTCTCCGATCCAGTAGACATATTCTGTGACAACATGTCTACGATAGCTTTGGCGAACAACCCGATCTTCCATGCTAGAACAAAGCATATAGAAATCGATCAACGATTTGTTCGAGATCATATACAACAAAAGCATATCAACCTGCGTCCGGTCAGTACAATAGATCAGCTTGCGGACATTCTCACAAAACCGTTATCTACAAATCGGTTCAAATTTCTTCGGTCCAAACTGACTGTTAACACTTACTCGTCAGTTTGCGGGGGAATGTTAGAGTAGACAACTTAAATAGCTGTTCTTACTTCCTATTACCGCTTGACACGTGTACCTCTATACTTTCTAAACTCTATATATATCTGTCATGTATGTAATTGATTAAGCAAGAAATACAAAGCTCATTTCCTGTCTTGTTCTTATTCTCTGTTTCAAGAAGTGTTAAACTTCCTCAATAAATATGAAGAAGATCCAGAGCCAATTCGAACTTCTCAATTGGACAACCAATGTTATTTCACTCGATCATGGAGCATTTGTATAACATTTAAGTGTCTTAATAATGTCAGTATTAAGCAATCTTGAGTTTTTTGGATTTGTCTCGTCGGGCCGCTCAATTCAACTATAAGCTTGCTATATTTGGATATCATTTGGCCACCCAATTAATATTCTAAAGCTTCCCAATATGCTTCAAGCTAGTTATTTGGGCCCATTTTGGCTCATGTTAGACTCATTTTGATATATTTCGTTCACATTGTTAGGACATTCAATTTGACTATAAGTTTACTCATATTAGAGTTCATATGGTCCTGAATTTAATTTTGAAAGTTTCAAATTTAAATTTGCTTCGAAATTCATGCATGAACAAGATAATTTTTTATGATGTATCAATATTAATTAAGTAATTAATTTATTATATTTAGTTTAATTATTATATAACATATGAATAAAATTTAATGCCTTGATTATTATCTTATTAATGTAGTTGTTAGTTAACTCATGCTTCGTTTGATTGGTTCTTGCTTATATAAAATGCAATTTTAAAAATTGATGCTGAGGAGGAGTTTAATAAAATAGAGTTTCAATAATGAGATGTTGTTTGAGTAATATTTTTTTAAGTGCTTATTAAAAGTTAAAAATATATATTAATTGTTTGTTTAGGTGTTTAGCTTTAGCAATTTTACTATGAAAGACTAAACTACCCATTTATGTAATTTAAGTATATGTGATTATTATTTTTAAAGTAAAGTTTACTTATGTAAAAATTTATACTCTAAAGATTGAAAACTAAAAAGATAGTCAATAATATAATATAAATTATGAAACTAAATAATTTTGCATCTTTACAATAAGCAAAAAATTTAAAATAAAAAATTAATTGTAGGCATACACAAATTTGTTAATTGTTCTTTGCGATAAGAGATTAATAGCTAGTAAGAGATGGGGTTGTTCGTTTTTTTTTTTTTTGGACATTTAGGTCATTTAAGGCAAACTCACACACACAACGCATATACATAGACTCTGAATCCTGAATCTCTTAGTTGGAAGCCTAAGCTCTCAACCAATAGGCGAAGGAGAGTTGTGTGTGAGAGAGATTGGGATTGTCAAATTGAAAATTTTTAGTTGTTATATCTATATTAATGTATGTCACATTCCACACTGCCGTTGCCATCGCTGGTTCTTCCGCTTTTGGCTTCGGCCGTGGGAAGAAGACAACAACATGGTGGTCAAAATTCACATGATACGATGCGACAACAGAGGGGAGAAGGGCGGTGGATCATGTGGTTAGTGCGCCCATCTGTGTGTAGGAGATGAGATGAGAAGGTCGCGGGTTGGGAAGATGATGGCTTAGGGGAAGGAGGCTATGATGCTTTTGGCAGACACCGGCCCGACGAGCTCCATTATGCCGCCGTCAGAAATGACTACTTTGATCGACAACAAGGAAGCGTCATCGCGCCCTAGACCGGCGAAGGCGCAATTCCCCATTTAAGTTATGTTAGCTGTCCTACAGTGTTTAAGAAGTGGATGCGTTTTACAAATCTTCAATGAGATTTGAGCACAGACTAAATGATGGAGGGAGTTGCGAAATATCGATAGGAAGCAAGTCAAAGCTGAAATGATGGAGGGAGTCGCGAAATAGCGAAGAGTAGTTCTCTGGATGGGCTGCGGAAAAAAGACGAAGCTCGCAGACGTGCTAGGTCGATGTCCGTGCAGGTTGATTACTCCATGGATTGTGCTAGGAGTGCTACTTTCATGTCTTCAAGTGAACATTGATTACCTAACTAGTTGTACTGTAAGTATCATATTGCTTGCTTTGAATAGAACTGCTATAAGTTTCTCTATTACCCATGAACAAGAGAGGTTTCTTTGTCTTGTCTTATTGTGTTACTAATTCTCTATTTCCAATCGAGTAAAAGGCTTTCTTGTCTCTTCATGAGCATTGAGTTATATTTTCTCTTTAACTTTTGTCTTTCAATGGAAGCAACAAGAGATGTTGCTAGATTTTAGGTGTTCAAAGAAGAAAGCATTTGGACTCAGAAAATATATTTCTAACATGCAGGACCGCACACTACTCGTCTCTTGTTTTCCATTTACAAGCGTTGTAACAGAAGAAAAATAGTCACTATCACTTGTATAAGAATGACAGCCAAGTTCTCATTACTGGATGAACAAGTTTGGAGCCCAAATGAAGCCACGAAGCCTGATTCTGGATCTTGGGATCCCACACCAAACTTATTCTTCGAGTTCTGAACTGCAACGCCCTCTTCCCTGCACAACTCCACACCAAAAGGAACAAATCTTCCGGCTCTATAACATAGATTTCTGTTATTCCAAGCTGTAAACCTCCTCCCCATTCTTTCAAAGAACTCCTCTGAGAAGTCAAGCTCTCCTGTGAAATTGTTCCCACTCAGATAGAGAACATTCAGATCAGGCAAATCTGCAAGCTTAGGAGAAACTTTTCCAGAAAGATGGTTGTTGTCCAATGCAAGAAACCTTAATCTCCTCAACCCAGCAATGGATTCTGGAATCACTCCCGTGATTCCCGTATTTGACAGGTCCAAATTTGAGAGATTTTGCAGTTTTTCCCACCCAAAGTCTACAAGATTTCCACCCAATGGGTTGTTTGACAGAAGCATATCTTGGAGAGAGAACATACCTTGAAGGGACTGAACCCACCCACCACTCAAACAGTTGTTCCTTAAATCCAGAAGAGTGAGATTCTTCAGAGAAGCAAGCTCTGGATGTAAGCTTCCACTGAATAGATTGTTGCTTATATCCAGCTTTAGCAGTGAAGTAAGACCACCGATTGATGACGGGATGGAACCAGAGAGTGAGTTACTGCTAAGGTCAAGTATCAAGAGCTCATTCATATTTTTTCCAAAAGAATTCGGTAATGACCCCATGAATCTATTACCAGCGAGTGAAAGCCTCTTCAGGTTGATCAAATTGTCAATTTCGTCAGGCAATTTTCCAAAAAGTCCAGTCTGCATTAGCACCAAAGACTGCAGATTTGTGAGACTAAAAACCTCGATCGGGATTTCTCCAACCAGTCCTTTATTTGATCTGAATTCCAAGATTTCTAAGCTAACAGCTAGCTTATCCCAGCCATTTGATGGTAAAGTGATGGATTGATTGGCAGAGAAACAATTAAAAAAGGAAAGACTCTTCAAATGCTTGAGCTCGAAGAGGGATCGAGTGAACCTTGAGTTTGGAGAGCAGTCAAGTGAGTTCTCCAGGACTGGCCCGATACTTAGGATGGTTATGTACCAGAGGTCATCAAATAGATCACAAGATACCCCCTGTTATTGAGATTTGGTCATTTTGCTGTCTAAATATAAATGAAAGGGTAAAAATTCAACATTTCATTCTTTAAAACCATTAAGAAAACTAAAGAAGAACAAATTAGATCACCAACTAATTAATAAGCATGAAGAATCTTGTCCTAAGTGAACAATAACATCTGACTCCAACAACAACAACAACAATATCAAGCTTTTATCCCACTACGTGGGGTCGGCTACATGAATCCTCTTTCTCCATTGCGTCCTATTAAAAGTCAAATTCTCGTTTAAATCTAATAAAGAAAGATCATTTCTAATATTTTCTAATCAAATCTTTTTATGTTCGTCGTTTTATGTGACCAAACCATCTAAGGCTAACATCTGACTCCAAAGACTGAAAATTCCGCCACAGAATAAGTTAAATTCTACCATTTTGCATGTACTAATAAGAAATAAATTTTCTTTTCTTACTATGAACAGTAATCGTTCTTTAAATGAAAAGTTCATAGGCAATAGTAGAAAGTAGGAAGAACTGCACCACAGCTCATTGCTCCTACAAACTGAAATTAAGCTAAGAGCATTAAATAAAGAAATAAATGATGTGAGATGTTTCCACTCGCATTCTCAGATCTTCACATAGACTTGATGAAGCTAGCACCCCCTATCAATTTTGTTCTTGAATATAAGCGATATAATTTCTATCAAGGTGGTCTAAACTTGGAGAGATCATATTAAAGAACTGGCAAAGTTTTATAGCAAAATAAATGAAATATAAAATATCAGCAAATACAACATTTGAAAGTAAGGTATTAATTAACAGAAATAACGAAGAAACCTGAATAGGTGTCCAACCGCAGGGGTCGGGATAAAGATCTGAGCCATTCCACCAATTACCAAGAAAACCCTGAATGGCCAAATACAGAGCTTCTTTCTCTGTCTTCTCCATAGGAGCCATTGCCATCTCTCCCCCTGATAAGTATAAGAGAGATAGGAGCGGGAAAAGGAAAAGAACTTGAGTTGAAATGTTTCTTCGAATGGCGGATTCAGCCATAGAAAGGAATGCAAGATGAAAGAAGCAGTGTTTTCAGACAAGACGAAGTTGAAAAATAGCAGAACAAATATAAGTAATCTGAAAGCTTTCACAAGCAGCAAATAAAGAAGAGCGCTGAAGAAGAAACAAAAGGCCAAAAAGAGAATCCGAGGAGCATCCTTTCTCTGTCTCTGCTTCGGCTTCCCACAAAAGGAGGAGAAGCGGAGATAATGAGAAAGAACCGAAATGACAAGAGAGAGGAAATTCCGGAGAAGAAGGAGAAGGAGAAGAAGAAGAAGGAACTGAAGGGTTCGTTTACACTATGCAGGCTACAATAAGACGCCGAAGTAGGTAATAATGGCAATGGTAGTAATAGCTGGAAAAGAAAAAAAAAAAAAGGGATTTTTACATACCTAACACCTAAAAATGTTTAAAATACAAATTTAACATCTAAACTAATCTATTTACTAATATACCACCTGAACCGCTCATTTTAAATCAATTATACCACTCCGTTTTCGGACGTTCGCCCCGTTCATCCCGTTCGCTCCGTTCATCCCGTTCGCTTCGTTTAGGGTTTAGGGTCACCACTTCAGGAAATTCTCCGCCCGTTCGCCGCCTCTTCGAAGTCCGCAGGCAAGTTCGGCTTCTCCTGATTTTATCCTTCTTACAGTTCGGGAGTCTGAGTTCGGGTGACTTAGGTCGGCACTGTGACAGTTTTTTTCTTGTTCATTCGTTTTCATTTTTTAATAGATTTATAAACAATCTCATTGTTGATGGTGATCTTCTTCATTAGTTGTTTAGGGTGAACTACTCAAATATTCATTCATGATGTTGAGTTTGTAAATTTAGAGATGCATATTAGTTGTTTGATGAAATGCCAAAGTCTAATTTCTGATTTTTCTGTTTCAGTTTTTTTGAACTTCTGCGATCTTAACAACAGACTGAGCATATGCCAAAGTCTATTTTTGTTCCGATCTTAATGCCAAGATCGGAAACAACAAATGCATATTAGTTGTTTCCGATCTTAATGCCAAAGTATATTTTTTTGAATTTCTGATTTTTCTGTTTCATTTTTTTTTTGAAGGTGGACATTACGGAGGCAATCTACAATGAGTTCGAGTTCCTCGGCAACACCAATCCGAAACTTTAGTAATCAAATATATTGTCATTGCAACTTACAATGCAAGATATTTACATCTTACCAATCTCGTAGCAGAGGGAGAAGATTCTACAGATGCTCCCGAAATAGAACAGAAGACGATTGCCATTACTTTCGATGGTGTGATGAAGTTAATGAATTGACGTATGATAGCAATTTTCGAAGTTCAAATGTTGTTGGAAGCAGTGCATCGCATATTGCTTCAATTAGAGCCGAGCTGTTACAAATAAAAATTATGTTGGTTATAGTGATTTTCCTTAATGTTATTGTAGCGTTCATTGTAAATAAAGGTCATTATGCATAAATGTGACTTTGACTCAATGTAAATATTTTGACAATCAATGAAATCATGTTGGTAGTATTATGTTGGTAGTATTACAAATAAAAATTATGTTGCTTTCGACCATTTATGGGATAATGATGTCAAGTATGAATGAACTTGTGGATTAATGTTAAATATTTGTTGTAACTTCGAGTTAAACTCATGTGGGCTATAACAATTAGCAGCAGTCCATACCAATTTTTGCAAACTGTGACTATCATCACAACGAAAAAGTCTTTTAAGATTTTTCCAAAGGTGTCGCATACATACTATGTGCTCGGCATGAGGAAAGATAGTTTTAATTGCTTCACCAAGCCCTTTCTCCATATCTGAAATAAATGCTAAATGTTCTATATGAACATCAAAAGATTGGGACAAATTCATAAGAAACCACTCCCAACTCTTCTTCGATTCAGATTCAGCAACGGCAAATGCAATATTAAATAAACCATTATTCCCATCCAACGAATTAGCAGAAAGGAGGACGCCTAAATATTTTGATTTTAGATGGCAAGCATCAATGCCAATTAAATATCGACAACCGGCAAGGAAACCATCAATGCAAACCTTGAAGCTAACAAAAAACCTCTTAAATGAGCCATTTTGTTTGTCACATTGGTATGTTATATGTGAACCAGGATTCCTATTCAATAACTCTGACCTCAATGTCGGCACCCATTTGTAGTTATCATCAACTGGTGATAGAAGGCCAATACCGATTGAGAGGAAAAGAATCTTGCTAAGTAGTGGCAAATTCAGAGGTGGCTGTTTGAATGGAATTAGGATTAATAGAGAATGTTGAAATATTAGATAGCTGCTTCTGCAGTTGGCATCGCGGGTGCACATTGCCGACGAAGCTTTCTACCAGCTGAAAACATTGCTTCTGCAGTTTTCATCACGGGAGCACAAATTACTGCTTCTGTTTCAGCTGAAATTAATGCAGTTTTTCAAAACAGAATAATAATAAAATGCAGTTTTTTTCAAAACAGCACAAATTACAGCTGAAATTAATGGAGTTTTTCAAAACAGAATCTTAAGACCAATATCAGAACAAAAAAACAGCACTTAAAGTTAATGCAGTTTTTCAAAAAACAGCAAAATTATAAGTCTTTGGCTTTAAACCCATACAAAAATCAGCAATGCAGCTTTTCACTCGGGACCAGAATTATAACTGGCACGCCTAATGGGTAATTTTGTAGAAACATCAGTTTGAATATCTTCTCCCTCAAATCTTATAGGTTCCTTACAGGTGCTTCTATGATGACCCCAAGAATTACATCGACCACATCTATGAGTTGTTTTTTATTTCTGTGAACCTTCCAAGAAGCTTTTAATGCGTCTTTTCTTGGGTCTACCACGTGGCCTAATTGTAACAGGTGGGAAAACAAACTGGTTATCAGGTAATAAGGTCCACTGCTCTTTCCCTGGCAATGTTGATATGGCTCCTTCATATGCCATTCTGTATCTTCATAAAATACTGTTGTTTAGATTTAAAAAATGAACAAAGCTTTTAATGAAGTAAGACTACATACCTATAACTATAATATAGCTCGTCCACATATGTGTGCCACAAAGTGTGATGCTTACTTCCTACAAACGCTGCAACATGTATACATGGTAAGCCTGCAATCTGCCAAAAACCACAAGTGCACGTATGATTCTCTATGTCAACTTCATGTCGCTCAGATAGCCCTTCAACCTCAGCTTTGGTTGCAGATGATTGTCTTATAATGAAGTGCTCTTTTCTAGTTGTAACATCTCTAATGTATTCATCCACACAAGGAACAAGAGGACCTCTCCAAGAAACAGCATTTGACTTTCGATGAGCACGTTGTTCCATCAACATACCACGAATCATATCAATCAGATCAACAACAGGCTTACTTCTTGCCTCCTCTACCCAAGAGTTAAGGGATTCAACCATATTATTCGTGTTGTAGTGGTTCCTAATATGGTTTGAAAATGTTGCTTTCGAACTGGCAAATTGCTTCGGTTTGTTCTTTCAATAACAACAAATTAATGTGACTTCTATCAAATTTCAAAGTTTTCTGATTTCCACCGACATATTTCATCCTATTTTGGCCCTTCACCTCAGTCCAGTATCCTCCATATTTGAAAAGAATAGAGCACACATTGTTGCACTCCATATCTGTAAATAAAATTAAAAAGGGATTCTATTAAATAGTTTTAAATGATAAAACAACTTTATATGATAAAACAGATTAACTGTTTCGGCTAAGGTCCATAAAACACATTGTTGCACTCCACTAATATAACTAAAGATTAATAAAAACAGAGCAGAGGAATCATATTTCGGCTAAGGTCCATAGAAGCTTTTCTGTTTCGCATATTTCGTCAGTTAGTTCAGAACCTATTTTGTCACTAATTCAAGTGCAGAAGGCACCAATTGTGCGATGGAGAAGGGAAAAAAATTTAAAAATAACAGAACCAAACTATACGAACTGAACCCGACGCGAAGTTTTTCATGCCTGTATCAGATGCCGAAGCTGAATAAGAGGAGAAGGTTGGATTCGCTAACGATTCAGAGAGAAGTTCGCCAAGCAGTCGCGAACGGTGCGATTCACGTCAAGAGAAGAAGCTGCAGTAGGTTCCCGCCCTTTTTCGCGATTTTGTGTTGACGGGAGGCGACGGGGAGGTGACGGAATGTTATTTTTGATGAGAATAAGGGTTTGAAGGTGGTATAGAGGTAAATATGAAAGTTTAGGTGTTAAATAGGTAAATAGGCTTGTTTTAAGTGTTAGATATGTAAAAATCCCAAAAAAAAAAAAACCTCCACGTCCTTGTTCTTAAACTAAGAAAAAAATGTTACTTTTTTTAGTTATATAAATTTGGGCTTTATAATTTATTTTCCATCGTTTAAAAAAAGATACAATTAAACTGTTCTATTTTATGCATGAAATCAGTTTTTTTTTTTTTAATAAAAATTACGGTTAAACTGTTGGTAGTTTAAAATTTTCTTTATTTTTTAAAGGGTTAAATAATTTTTAACTTTCCAAAAAAATTATATATATATATTTTATTTAAAGAAAACTTTCAATTTATGAATGATAGTAATTTTAATTGTTAAAAACATTTTAAAAATAATATTAGTATTCTGAAATTAATTATTTTTGTTCGAAAGTAAAAAACTTTGAATTTGAGGATATGGGAGATTGAAAAAGCGAGAGAGAAGACGGTTGGAATAGAGCTGGCAAATTTGGAGTTAGGGTTCTGAGGCCTATTGGGGGGACCAGCTCGGCCTCCATGTGCTGTGTGCAACCCCTTCCTTGTTGCTTTACACTTTTTACCGCATTAATGGCCATAATTTTCTTTTAAGTTTTTTAATCAACTCTTGATTTTATGAGCTGCGGGCTTTACTTCAAGGCTTCCTTTCTGATCATTTTGTTATTATTTTATTTTTTAGATTTTAATCATTTATATTTGATCATTTTTTTTTTAATTTGTATTAGAAATCTGCTTTCTACAGAGTTTTAATTTTTTTAAAAAAAAATTTTTTTACAAAGCATTAAAAAATTCATCACAAACAAAACCTAAATCAAATGTGAAAATTTTTTACTTTTCTTTCCTTATTAAATTATAATGATTTCTCTTATTGTATAGTATTGAGAGTGATAATTTTCATTATTTTTAATTTACTAAGATTTTAAGGGTTGTTGTTTATGTCATTTCCTATTTGGCGGAATATAAATCACTGCAATAATTTTTATTATTATTTTCTAGTTGAAAGATTTATGTTTCATTTGGGACGCTTTCTTACTGATTTTTAAAACAATTTTTTAGTACAAAATTTTCTAAGTTTACAAATTTTTGTATTAGAAAGCTTATTCAAAAAGCAGTAAAAAAACATCCCAAACGAAATATTAATATATGATGATTATGATAATAAAAAAAATGCAAGTAAAACGGTGTTGTTATAATGATAGGTGTTAGCTATAATGTTTTAATATTTTTGGTTACAACTTTATAGGATTCGATAGGTGTTAGCTATAATGATCACTTTTATAATATTTGGATCTACATGTAGTAACATGATTTATATATAATAAAACTTACATATTTATTTGGCAATTATTGATTTTCAAAAAATTATCTTGTAGGGTTTAGGGTCTTGGAGCAAATTTTGTCTATTATGCCAATTAAAAAAATTATCTTGCTCAAAATAGGCTATCAGCACTCTACTTCAAATTTCAATTTTATCGCTCTTATGCGAATTCTTGTATTTTATTTGGTCGAACTTTAGAGAAACTCAAATCTATCAAGTTTTTTAAACTTTTTGCTGTGTAACTTTTAATTTCTTGTAGATTATATTATTCTAATCATATTAGTGTTTATGATCTAAATTTTCACGGGATATTTTTTGAAATATGTTATTTTAAGTATTTTAGATGGTATATTGACTTCAATATAAATTGATATAGAAAAATGAATGCTTCAAAATGATGTTGTGGATGTTGCACATGAATGACTTTATGAATTAGGATTGTTGAATTATGTACAAAAGTTTACCCTTATAAACCCTACTACTTTGGCATACATACAAATTTATATACATTTCTATACATGTTAAATAAGGGTAATACATATCAAAAGAGATGACATTTTTATACATATATATCTAAAAATGTTTGGAAAGGGGGTGAAAAGGGAAAAATGACAGTTGCTCCATAAACTTGAAGATAACATGAATAAAAAAGTGAATAGTTATGCAATTGAAAGTAGAGGCAACTAGCTGACACAACTATACTACACATAAAATTAAATACAACAACAACATCAAGCTTTTATTTAAGAGAATTATGTCTATATTAATTTGAAAATATTAAATAATTTTTCAAGGAGTTTGGAAGGTCAAAAAAGGTACATAACCAACCTAGGTTGGATTGAACCAAGCTTCGGATGAGAGCCCTTCTTGGCTTTTTGAGTGGATTTTATGAGGAATTAGATGGAAAATTGTTTGGAGGGTGTGAGGTAATAAGTGTGGAAGAGTCTACAATAGTTTTGAGAGGACAGAGCACTTCCCACACACCAAAATATCAAGGTAAGAAGGAATCACCAAATTCCTTTTAAGGGTGAGGCCGGCCACCAACTCTCCTCTTCTTTGGAGGAAATTCTAATATTTAAAATACAACCACCTTTTAATATTCATTACAACATACACATTATATATATATGCAAATGCTTTTTACAAATAATAAGTAGAAAGTGAAACGGAAATCAAGACAGGCTTGTGCTACCACCTGATGATAATGATTTATTAATGCAAACATTTATGCGTAATCGAGCATCGGTGGTATCGAAACCGTCTGGAACCACAAGGAAAGCCTTGCGAGGATGAACTCCATTCCACTTCTTGACCTTCTCAACTGAGGTCCTAAGCCTAAGCGAGCTTTCCCTGGTTTTCACCTTGAGCTCGCATGAGAAGTCATACTCGGTATTGTCTGAAGCCATGCAGATAACAGAGAGCACATTCCCAGGGAAGAAGATCTCATAATTGTTTAAGAGGAGGAAGAAATGGCTGTCCTCCCCAAGCAGAACCATTAAAGGTTGAAGCTTCTCCAAAACAACCAAGAAAGGTTGATCATAGCAGAAGTTCTTTGAAATGTTGCCGTGCATACGTTTGGTATGAGTACAGAGAAGACTCTTTGAGCCAGAGAAGGTGCAATTACTAATTGGGCAGAAGAGGGCAGCATGGCTACAGGCTTCTTCATGGGAAGCTTTCTCAGCAAAGGATAGAATAGCTTTGCATCCGTAATTAGCATACTGGCATGGGCTGGTAATGGATTCGACAACTTTCTCAAGTGCAAGGCATCGGTGGCTACCGATAGGTTCACAGCATAAGTGACATTTGTTTAAGAGTTTAGGACAGCAATAGGAACATGCAATATGTCCATTTCTACACTGGAAAATCAAGGAAAATAAGCCATTAAGTTTTCTTGTATCAGATTCTGCATGCCAGAGGTGGAATGGAGATGAAATAAACAATAATTATATGAGGCTATTGTGAAGGGATAGAGCATATTTAAGCTAGCTAATTTAAACACAGAATAAGAATAGGACATAGCCCAAAAGGCTAGAAAACAAAGCTAAAGATAAACTGCACATATAAAACCAAAATGTACGCAGGCACCAAAATAACCTAATCTAGTAGAAAAGAGCATCAAGGCAGCTAATTTAAAGTCGCAGCTAAATAAAATAGACAAAACAATAGTTGGCCATAAGGAGGCACTGACCATTAATCAAGATATAGGATAATTAACTATTAGGCTTAAGCTCGTGAAAAATCTCAAATAAAAAATACAAGTCCTTAATCAGGGAAAAATTCACAGATAATTCTTATTCGCTACTTAATCAGACTCTTGAAAGAATATCACTTTTTGTCCAAACTACACTACCAAAAAAACAGTATTTTTCGTGTTGCATGTTAGAAGCGGTTTTGAAACCGTTGCCAAAACCTAGATTTTGCATCAGTTTTAAAGGTACAAATAACACTGGTTTTAACCGGTGCAATGTACACCGGTTCAAACCGCCGGGCATTGCCTCTTAAAACGAAGTCCTAATTCGATCTCAATCTCACGCGATTCGAAGCTCGGCCCTCTTCCCCTCTTCGTTCGTCTGGGAGCACACCGTCGAGCGTCGCAAGCGAAGACCATCCTAGCCGACCCTTTCGCACTGTACATGAGTCTCTTCCCCTTCTTCCTTTTCTCTTTTTCTCATTCTTCTTCTTCATACACTTCTTCTTTTTCTTATTTCTTTACATTCACCTCTAAAATCCGAAAAGAAGAAAAGGAAGGGCAGATTTTTCAGTATAAAACTAAGTAACAGTGATATCTCAACTGAATTTCCTCTAATCTGCTAGCCTTATATAATTCTTAAGACATCAAGTATGCTATGAAACTTTCCAAATAGAGAAATTTTTTTCTCTTTCTTTTTAGATAACTTATGATTTGGGAGATTCTTACATTAGATTGCAAGTAACCTTGATTGATCTAATCCAAATTATTTGATTGAAAATGGCATAACTAACAACAGGAAGGAGACAGTCGTTAGAAGCTTTTAAGAGGCTACACTTCAACTCCACCTTCTCCATTCTTTATTGATAGTGTTTTATGCTGGACTGCTCACAATAAAGGGAAGGAAATCCCATGCAGCTTTAAAAGTTACATTAGATCTTAGGAGGGGACCCTTCAACTTAAGTTCATGTGTGGCACAAATACCTTACAATGCAGAGGTAAATCACTATTGTGAATGCAACTTGTGTCAGTAATTAAATGAGAATTTGGTTTCAATGTTAGAAGCTGAATATAAAAGCATTATTCTTCTAGTTATTTTACTTTGGGATGTGATGGGAGAGATATTATATATGAATAAAGATGACAAAAATGTGAGGTTTTGAGGTATTTAACTTCTAGAAAGCTAGGGCATAGAAAATATAAAGTATTTTATATTGAATAAATTATGGAATACATTTGTCTTGATTCCAATTTATATAGTTTCCTTTTTTGGTTTCAAAATCATAAAAAGGAGATTTTCTTACATTGGCTGCTCTTTACTAGTTCATTTATTATCATTATATTATGATTTTAGAAAAAGCAGCATATTACCGATTTGTTGATCCATTTTAATATAAATGGTTTGATGAAGACATCAGAAATCTACGGCTATGATCGTGCCTATTTATTTTGATCTATTTTATGTATTTGATTTATTATTGTTCATTTTCCCTTTCTACCCTCACTTGAGGGCTTTGTCTTATGTATGCCCTAGGGGCAATTGTGTCTTTGTTATTTCCTTTTCATGTATTTGGCTATTTAAAGCCACCCTCTTCCTTTGGAGAGGTTAATGAATGAATGATAAGAAAATTCCTGCACATGTGTTCTTTGGAGAGTTGTGAGAGTTCTAGGAGAGAGCTTTGGAGAAATCCCTAGGGAGGGAAATCGGATCACCCACCAACCTTGGAGGCGGCCGGGTTCGTGGTTCTTCTTTCTTTACCTTTCTTTCGTTCTTTTTCCCTTCCCTTCCTCCTCCTCCCATCAAGCCACCAACATCCCCATTCAATCCCCAACCTCCTAGCCGTCGGATTCCCTAACCACAATCCATCTTGTCACCGACCAACCCCCACCACCAAACCATTCAACCCACAAGTCCTATTCCAAAACGCCGGCCACCACTTTGCTTTCCCCTCCCTCATCAATTGACATTACAACTTTCCTAAATTAGCCCTACATATTTTAGGTAGCTCATATAATTACAAATTCAAATCTATTTGAATTTGAAATTATTACCTAAAATACAAATCCTATTTTAGGAAAGTTTTCAAATCCCTTCCTATTTGAATTTTTTATTAAATTGGGATGAGATATTTCTTCCCAAATTTAATTCCATAAATCAGGAAGGCATTAAATGTTTCCATAAACTCTCCCTTGCCCCCTCATGTTGCTGGCCCCTTTCCCATCTACTTTCCTTTTCTCTCCCAAAACTCCTCTAAGGAAAGAATTGGAAGCTTACCTAATTTAGATCCTCTTAAATTTGGAAAGTTTTCAAACTCAAAATTCAAATTTATTTGAATATCGAATCCTTTTCTAAATTAAGAAGGATTCAATTTGGGAACTTTCCTATTATCCCAAATCTGTTTATTTAGAGGTTTCCCTTTAAATCTCTTTCCAATCAAAATCACACCCATGATTGGAAAGAATTCAAATCCCCATTAAATTTCTCATGCATGGCCGGCCTTCCCCTTTTTCCTGCTATCATATTAATTTCCCTGAAATTAAGTCCTCAATCATCCCGTAACTCTCCTCAGCACTGGCTGTCTTCCCCGAGCCTTCCACCTCTTGGTTTTCTTCCTCTATTGGATTTTTGAGTGCTGTCCAGATTTCTGGGCACAATCTGCACATAGCCTAGGAAATTCCAGATTTTCATCTTGCTGTCCATGCCATTACCAACTGCTGTCCTGCACCCTGGGAGGTCTGAAATTGCCGTTCAAGAAGTCTCCAGCAGCCTATAACAGTTGCCCAAGGTTTAGACAAGTGTTAGAGATTGCTGTCAAGAATTTCCCAAGTGTCAAAGTTACTGTCCAGCAGTTGTAACCATCTCCTATTGCTGTTCCGCTGGTTTTAAAATCAGATTGCTGTCCAAAGACACCAAGAAGAATCAAAGGTTGTTGTCTACTTCCTCTCAAGCACATAAACACCACACCGGAGCTTTGTTCAGCATATTTATTTGGGTGATCTCTCTTCCTATTCTTTATCTTTTAAACGTTCTCAATCGTAGCTCTAATTGATTCATGAAAAGTTGTGTTAAATCTTCCCGCTAAACCCTAGCATTTATTAGGAGTTGTGTGAGAGATTCTTCATGGCACTACTCTTAATGTTAGATTAGAGATTTCTTGTTGAAACTCACCTCGTATGCAACGTCAAGAGTAATTGATTATTTTGTGGCTTTTACTTTTCGAAAGTGACTTGGCCTAAGCTTTTGTTACCTCTCTTTGTATTTTATTTCTGTGTAAGTCACCCTAAAGCTTTAGTTAACTTGCTCTTAATCATCAAACGTGCAACATCCTTATTTAAATCGTATTTTCATGTATATCATGCATCATTTGGTATCAGAGCATGACTAGCATAGGCTACACATGCTAGAAATCATCCTAGGGAGCTACATAATCATTCTTAGTCATCATTGCATGCATATCACCGTATATAACATTTTAAATCATTGATTACTTTGCTGTCCAGTAAATTTCTGCACACTTTAGGAAGTTTTAAAGATGTCAATTGCAAATCTTTGTGATGTCCTTGCACCTTAGGATCCCTATATCCTTTACCCACTAAACCCTAGCATTTATTAGGAGTTGTGTGAGAGATTCTTCATAGCACTACTCTTAATGTTAGATTAGAGATTTCTTGTTGAAACTCACCTCGTATGCAACGTCAAGAGTAATTGATTATTTTGTGGCTTTTACTTTTCGAAAGTGACTTGGCCTAAGCTTTTGTTACCGCTCTTTGTATTTTATTTCTGTGTAAGTCACCCTAAAGCTTTAGTTAACTTGCTCTTAATCATCAAACGTGCAACATCCTTATTTAAATCGTATTTTCATATATATCATGCATCATTTGGTATCAGAGCATGGCTAGCATAGGCTACACATGCTAGAAATCATCCTAGGGAGCTACATAATCATTCTTAGTCATCATTGCATGCATATCACTGTATATAACATTTCAAATCATTGATTACTTTGCTGTCCAGTAAATTTCTGCACACTTTAGGAAGTTTTAAAGATGTCAATTGCAAATCTTTGTGCTGTCCTTGCACCTTAGGATCCCTATATCCTTTACCCACTCACCTACTTCCTGTGTGAGCTGAAGTTTAGCATGATATCCCACTTTGAGTTTGCTGTCCACTCATTTTCTGCACCTTCTAGTGACATTTTGGAGAGTCTAGCTTCGCTTCAAGTGCTGCCCCCTATCTAGATTCATCCCAAGTGTTGCCAGGCTATGTCCAATGGACCCGATTGGGCTTCAAAAGAAGCTAGATAACCTAGTTAATATAGTGGGCTCTATAACTAAAACGATGAAGGATAAACATGTTGACATTCCCCGCTTTAGGTATGTGCACCAGTCGGTCAATCATGTCAGTCGGAAGGTTACCCATTCTATTTATCAACCTAGTCATGAATCCAAGCCGCAACAACCTCACTTAGAGTCATATAACCGTCTGCCCACCTTTGATGGTTCCTCGGATCTTTACTACTTTAAGGAATGTGTTAGACAGTTGGAAGACTATTTTGAAACATATGATATTCCTAAGTCCCACCGGGTGAACATTGCTAAGGCTCGCCTAAACGGTCGTGCTTGTCAGTTTTGGATGAGGGTAGAAGATCATAGAGAGTTTCGTGGTGA